AACTCACCGTTGACATACTCCCAAGCGGTTTCCTCGCTCGGCTCGGCTCTCGCTGCGCCCAGGCTAGGCCACGGGCTGGTTGGAGTCCATGGCTGAAGGCTTCCACCGAATCTCTCTGCAATGTCGGCAAAAGCGAGGCTGGCGGTCGTCTCACACACCCATGCGACACCAGCATTAGAACAAGTTGACAGCCAGACCCGGGCGTCCTCCACCTCAGTCACGCTGCCCACTGGAGTATTTGAGTTATCAGAGATATCGACTCCAGCATGGCTCGCAGTCGCAGTTTTCTCCAAGGATGGCGATCCTGCCGAGAGGTGTGACTGTGCTGGACCCAACGAGCATTCGCTGTCTTGTGCTCTTGGAGCCCGCGAAGGTGATATTGAGTTCGAGGTCGCAGGGATGGTCGGGGTAGTAGTTGTTGCAACACCTTCTCTTACTATACCAGTAATATGATCGGCACTGGTTGATGAAGACGGCCTCTCGACAGAGGTACTGGAAGGATTTGACAAATCGTGTCTAGCTTCCTGGTCTTCTGACAGGGCCACTGGTGGCACCACATCTCTGCTAACAGCCGTATGATTGTGGTTGTCTCGCGTCGTCCTTGTCCTTGTTCGACGCTGCTTGGGTGGATAGACACATTCTGCTGATGACTTTGCACAATGTCTGCATGGATGGCCACCAGAGCCTAGAGGGAGTTTAGGCGAACAGCAGGTTTCAAATGGCTTAGGGCCTAGCAACTTACATCTCACTTTCCGGAGCCTGCAAGCTCGACAAGCAATAAGTACTCTGTCGCTTTTCTGCTTTTCCGACGGTGTAGGCATTGCACGTTGTGTTGCGCATCAATTGTGGTGCTGTTTTGGATGTTCGTCTAATCACACAGAGAGACCGCATGGTGAGGAGGTGGGGGCATTTTGGGTATGAGAAGAGAAAATCAGCCTGGGCGGCATCTGAGAGGCACCTGGGAGGTGCTTGTCGCTAGAGGGGACCCTAGATGCCCATGTGCCTAGCCCGCCTGAACCCCCAACTTGGCAACCTTCTCGGTGCTCTGTTCGTTAATCCAGCCTCGGCGGGGGCTACCATGTCCCTGGTGATGCCAATGCTGATGGTTACCTAAGATGATCTTGGGAATCAAGGAAAGTACCTAGGCGGTCACTGGTGGACGTCTAGCACCCCCGCGCCTCCACGTCAAGCCCCTCCGCACCTTGACTCTCTACCCCGGAGCGCCGCCTGGATGGCCTCAAGCCTAATACTTGGACGGGCTGCCCTGTCACCTATTCTCGTATAGAGAACTTTACCGAGTGACCCTCACCAATTACCCCCTCTGCTTGCTCCTGCTACCCTCACAGTGGTTTTCTCCTCCTACTATAACATGCATCGGCTGTGAAATCAATATTATAAGAAAAGCAACCAGCATCACTCCAACTACTGTCCTCATGGATGACCCAGAATCCATCCACTTTGAATCCACTTCACATCCAAACGATCCAAGCTGTTCCTTCGACAGTCTCGGCTTCCCAGATGTTCTTTTTGACGACGGAGATCTGTGGCCTCTCTCTGAAGGCTTCTTTGACCCTGCTGGAGACCTATCGGGCCTTGACACATTGCCTCAGATTGGGGCACCAGAATCTCTAGAAGAAAACGATGACTTGATACAAGACCTGTTCATCTTCCCTACAGAAAATCCGCCTCCCATCGGGGAATATCGTGGTACCAATTCAAATGAGGGCGCCGACGCAGTGACGGATAGTCCTCACGACCTTGAAAGCGTAAGTGGGACGACGGACAAATCCTGATCGACCAGGCATGATACTGATTGTCTGGACAGATACTTCCCAACCACTACGGTGCGTGTGTTCCATTTCGATACCTCTTCTCATAGTGACTTTGGCAGGGTTTGGATACTGGCTCTCAATCTGTTCTGGCCCGGGAATTGCGTGGATTTGCCAAAAACACAGATCCGACGAGTTTGCTGAAATCGCCGAGGAAATGAAAGCCAGCTGGGCGCGGCAGTTGAAACTAGAGCACACTCAGCCCATGTCTCAAAGCGCTGAGCCCGAGCCGTCACTTGCTTGGTTGTATTGCGAAGCCTATTTCGAGCGTTCAGTCGACAACCTCTGGGAGAGCGTCTACCGACTGGAGTTCGAACAGCACTTACGGTCTCACCTTGCAGGGAAAGGACAGGGTGATGACCCTGCTTGGTACGCTCTGCGAAATGTTGTCTACGCTGGGGGTTGTCGGATGTATCGCTCCCAATTTCCAGAAGCCAACTCTTCCGACGTTCAAAGAGAATCCTGGAGCTATTTCTCCAATTCCCTGTCTGTTCATAGCGAATTGTTACTCACCAGACCAACAATGCTCTCGGTTCGAGCTCTACTGACAATGGTGAGCACATGAGCTGCTATATCCCGAAGAGAAGGTGCTAAGTATCGATAATCTCAGGCTCTGTTTGCAGAAGGTCTAGCAAGCCCAGCATTGAGCTCAGGCCTGGCGTCAAATGCAGCACTTCTTGCTCAATCCCTAGGTCTTCATCGGAAGCGAGTTGATGCCGACGCTGCTGAACATTCGGAAGCGCTTCAGTCCACGTGGCTCTTTTGGGCGGTGTATTGCACCGAAAAACACATCGCACAGCGTTGTGGCCAACCTTCTGTAGGTGCGATCAGAGCTTCGATGAGACTATCAGCTGATCCGTCTCCAAGTTGATTGATGATGATGACATTAGCTGCGACATACCCGAGACAGTCCACCCGGGGAGCACTATTGAACCTGAGACGCTCACCTATATCATTCAGACCTGTCGGTTCTACCACCAGATCAGTAAGCAGATGCTCACTACCCGGGCGCTTGAAGAGCCTCCGGAGAGGATGCTCAGCCTCGTGGAGCAATTTGACAACCAACTCCAAGCATGGAAAGAGTCAATACCGCTACACCTCCGGCCCACCGATTTCCTAAAGCAATTCAAGATGCCAGGGAACAGGAAGCTTTTGGGACTAATGACGGCACATTGTTCCTTCTACGATCTCGTCATGGCGGCGCATTCTACTTTCCTATACCCGTGGGTCATAGAATCGTTCTCCGAGTATGGAGATACAGAACTGGCTCAGCGGATCCAGAAGCAAATCCACGTCAGTTCACATTTGGTCGCAAACGCCGCACGAAGTCTCATTGTCGTCGTACGGAGTCTGGATATGGACAGTGTTGGTACCCAATCGTGAGTGTGCAGCACTGACGGCTATCCGATATACCGCTGAAACCACTTTCTCAGGTTTGCGTTACATTTTCCCATGCGGGCCTTTGTGAACCTCTTTGTCTTCGTCCTCCAGAACCTGCGATCGCCTTCGGTCCAGTCAGACCTGGCGCTCCTGGACGTGGCGGCGGGGTTTTTCGGCCAGATGGAATTCATCACGGGGTCCAAGATCAGTTTCCCATTTGCTCGAGACGTTGCGGCCCTCGCTCGAAGCGTCGTTGCCGAAGCCCAAAGAACCTCATCTGAAGTCTCTGGGCAGATGAATCGCAATGTCCAAATGAGTATTTGAGCGGCGAGACACTTACATATTCTAGGTAATTTTTGAACCACCTCACTACACGGACACAAGTTCATAGCGTTGCAGAGTTGCAATAGAGGCGTCAAGGCAGGAGTGCCAATATCGATTTGGAAATTTAGATCAATACCACTACCAAGCGACTTGATTGCACTCTCTCCGACCACCAGGCCAGCAGCCCTGAATACTTTTGAAATGGCTCCACGAGCCAGGATTCATCATGCGGCAGTCTTGCCCAATTTATCCACACCTCGACGGCGACAAGGGAGTTCTACATCCGGCAGAAGCAGCTCGATCGTCTAAACGTGCGCCAGAATTGGTTGCCCAGCCGCACCTGGCACGATCGGCTGATAATAACGAACCCGGGGGCCTTTGACCGTACCCTGGACGACGATGGCGCGGCCGATGAACTCGAGCGCCGTCGCCTTTCCACCGAGTGGCTTAACGATGGCACCTCCCACGATCAACAGATCCAAGTCCTGTCCGTCGTCGGCATCGTTGAAATAGATCTTGCGGAGCTCGTGACTTCGAATCTCAAATTTTTCCCAGATACCGTCGCGTGACGAGGCGATGTCTGTATTTAACACCAACAAAAAAACGTATCAGACACGGAATTCCATGATATCTCTCTGAATTCTTGCCGTGTCGGGCACGGCAGGAGCGGGTTATGGAGGTGAATGCAACGCAACCAATGTACAGACAGAACGTACCTTGTCCCTGGAAATATCCCGACGACGAGAAAAACTTTGCGTCCTCGGTGAACACTTCTTGGACCAGCCGAGAGCCAGCCTGTGGCGATTTGCTATCGAGCAGTTGGAAGAGCAAGTCTACCAACGTCCTCACCTCCCCTTTGAGGCTCGCGGGCCAGCTGACGCTGACGCTGGCACTGACACTGGCGTTGAGGTTTGCAGACATTTGATGAGACGAATGAATCTTTGTTTCGACAGATATAGGATATCTTGAAGGCTATGCTATGTATGACAAGCAACGATTGTTGTATAGTATTCTCCGCATTCAATTCATAATATATCATGTATCGTGGCCAGCGGAAGTATACAACTAACTCCCATCCCATCTTCGATGGGTTTCGGGCCGAGAAACGCGTGCAGTTCATTGGACATTTGTGCAAAACGTTACCCACAAGTCAATATGCCGAATGTTCAAAGCGAGCAGCAAGCTTGGTATTAACGGGTCTTTCTGTCAGGACCGTAACCTTGGACTGTAGAGACTTGGAGTCACAAGCATACAAAGGACTTGACCGCAACTGTAATATATAGAATAGGCAGCTTCTGTGGCTCGGAATTGAATAACGGCGAACTTTTACTCAGCCCCAGCAGAAAAGAATACATCTCTATAGCCTTGCGTTGCAGTTGGTCCTGCACCTTGGTATGTACGTCCTATATGATCTTCACAGTGCAGCATACTATCCGGAAGAGCTCTACCCGGAAGAGCTTCAGTGTCTCAATCTCGCAAGACACCGCCCCTGGCGCGGAGCTTCTCGCCGTAGATCTGGAGCGCCAGAATGATCAGCCCCCCGGACGCGACGATGGCGGCCTGCACCCCAAACGAGACGTCGAACCCGGATCGCAGGCCCCAGCCCTGTTGGAAATACCCCACGGAGAAGCCGCCGATGATGCGTGCAAAGTTGAACCACGCCGACACTTCGCCGGGAGCGTTGCGGTAAGAGTCGAGCGCGTAGGCGAACAGGGGCACCGAGAACATCATGACCGCGGCGGTGTACATGGCCCAGCCGAAGGCGACGGCGACCCACGACAGGTGCCTTTCCAATGCCTGTCCGACGAGGATGAGGCCCGGGACGGTGAGCAAGAGGGTCAGGTAGACCGGCGGCAGACGAGCTTCGGGCTTGAAGACCCCGTTGTGCTGACGGACGTAGCGAGTGGTGGTCCACTAGATAGAGAGAATCAGTTTTTTTTTTTCAGCATTCACTTTCCATCTTGCCCATATGTCTTGATTTGAAAAAAGTCGATATGTTCATTTCGTGAAATGGCATGAACGAGGATGCAAAAGAAAGGAGGGAGGGATGAAGAAACTCACGTCGTTGATGAAATGGCCCAATGTCTCGCCGATCAGCACGGCAATAATCGGCGCAAAATACAAGTAGCCCGTGGAATTGAGGCTCATGCCATAGCCACCCGCTGACACGGGTTCGGCGAAGAGGATGGCCGACGACTGGTTGATGCCGATCGCCCACATACAGCTCAATAAGCTAGATTTTGGACCGTCTTAGCACGCACCTATGGGGCTCAAAAGGAGGAGAGGGGTTTCCAATCCGGGGGGGGGGGGGGGGGACTAACTAGAATGCCAACAACGGGATGATGATGGGTTTGAGCAAGATCTCAAACACGCGGAGGAACGAGCTCGTAAAACTGGCAAAGTATCGACGGTGGACTTGGAGCTGCCACCAGCCGACAAGTCGCAGGATCCTGGTCCCGCGCTGGGGTTGCTGAGACGGCGGCAGGTCCCTCCGATAGAAGGATTCGTCGAGGAAGAGGGCCAGACAGAGCAGAACCAGGGCCTCCAGGCCAAACACGACCCAGAACGTGGCTCTCCACGACCCCGTGGCGGCAATGATGTACGAGCCAAACATGGGCGAACAGTAAGGGCAGACCTGCACGGCGAAGATCCAGATGCCGATCTTCCTTGCCTGTTCGTGGAGAAAGAAGACGTCTTGGATGAAAGCCAGACCGACCGCGGGGCCGGAGCTGAGGAAAACCCCCATCAACGCTCGGAGACCGTAGTATCCGGCAAAGTTGGGGACGAGGCAGGTCGCCAGAGTGAGAAAGGTGCCGATGAAACTGGTCCAGAACAACACGGGAGCCCTGCCCCAGAGGTAGATCAGAGGAATCCAGACGAGTCCTCCGATTCCACTGAGAAAGAATACAGTCAGCCCAGCCTTTTCAAGGGGATCGATGGGTTTCACAGGGAATGCAGCAAAGACGTACTTCATCAAAACATTGAGATTCCCTGCGTAGTTGACGTGGACGGGGGAGAGATGCCACTCAACGCCCTGGAGACCGACACTCGGGACGCCCGCGGCTGTTTGATAGTCGCTTTGAAACGCCGCAAGACTGATGGCGAGCAGGAGGAGATTCTTCTTGAGATCGGACCAGTTCAACGGGTCATTGGGATCATCCGTGGGCTGTGGGACGAGGACAGTCTGTAAGAGGAGGGAGAGCGTCAGTCATTTCATTATGGGGCCGGGTAGGGAGTCACTGACATGGCCATCCCTGGTCAACTTCAAATTGGTTCTTCCTGATTGCTCCTTGACGTGGCCAACGTCAAGGAGTACCGCGCCGTTTCCTTGTTCGACGACGACAGCGCCGGGCACGCTTTGGCATTCTTCAAGCTCGACAGCTTTGCCTTCTTCAACATCGTCGTTTTTACCTGCTCGAGGCATTCCCATGGTGTGATAACACGGATATCGCTTTTAACTGTGAGAATAGAAAGGTAGCTCAGAATGCCACGGAGAGTATTAGCCAGCCAGCCAGCGAGCAAGGGAACTTTGGTGGAGATTCCCTTCATATGGGCGGAACATCATCTGGTTTCGGTTGCACCTCCATACTTGAAGTAAACGACTAGATATGAAGAAGCCCCGAGCCTTGTGGAGAAAGGGAGAGTAAAGTCCGGGGTCGATCCGGGGTATTACAACGCGCGGGTGTCTGCGTCTCTGTCTCTCTCCCGCGACGTCTGGGCCTGGGGTATTTCGTCGTCTCTTCGGGCCGACAGAAATTGACTGGCCTGCGGGCCGAGAGCGAGAGCGACCACTCAAAATCATGCTCTTTTTTACCTCGTACACAAAGTCATGTATCTCCGTGAGTCGGAAACTGGTCATGGCACGTGGCATTAATTGTCCTCACGGGCCGAAATATAACGTTACTTGACCGGCTCCAGAGGTGCCAGGACGGAGGCTCCCACCACCATCAGTGGTGATTACCTTAGGTAATCATATCCTTTCTCTATTCGTGTATAGATCAGGTGTCTAGCTATATTTAGACTAGCTTTCACTACACGTGACCACTAAATGTAGTATAGCTCCACTACGACGCCCTTGACGCTCTACCTTGTAAGGCTCAGTAGTCGACACGTTTTACCTCGTAGATAAAACAGAGCTGGGATGTCCAGTTGCCTGTTACTTGGCGGGACAACTTGGTAATTGATAACTTGGCGATTTGCCCTATAAGACTTATGATACCGACAGGCATATACCTCATCAATCCTCTAGTGACAAGTCGCAGGAGTAAGTCACCCCTTACCACTTAGGGCCGTCGACTTTGTACGGGCTCACATGTAATCGGGAGTCCTATTCCGAGGACCAATTTCCTTCCTGGTCTTGATCCGTCTGGCCTCATCTTTCGATAGTCCTTCACTGCCATCAGGCAGCATCTTGGCCAGGATCTCAGCGGACCATTCCTCGGGGTCGAAGTCGGTGCCAATCGGGTTCTGCACGAACAATGAACTTCTCATGAATCGGTCGGCCTCATCAGGGAGGTCGAAATTGTCCACTTGGAGCTCAACTTTGTTCCCGTCGGGATCCTGGTAGTACATGCTCGTGGTCATGCCGTGATTGACGCACCATATGGGGACGATGGGCTTCTCTCGCTCCTTGAGCGCGCGATACGTCCGTGCCAAATCCGTCAATGTGGCGTATGTATACGAGGTGTGGTCAAGCCCGGCGGTGTTTGGGCTCGCCTCTCGTGGTGTGATTTCGGGCTTGCGGACAATGGCTATTCGGTGGTGCTCATCGTCATATCGCAGCATGGCAAAGTAATCTGCTTCGAGGATGACCTCGGCCTGCAGCATGTCCACATAGAAATCCACCATGCGCCGATAGTTGTCCTCGGTTGTTTTGAGGACCACATGAGCAAAAGCAGAGGGGCTTGGGTGTGACCGCTTCGTTGGCTTTGGAGTAAGAGTGTTGATAGAATAGCTGTCACTCTGATCTAAAGTCTTCGAGGGCGACATGGTGGGAAGTCCGGGTTCGGCAGGGAGACAACAGCACCAATGATGAAGATAGGGGCGTGATGAGAAGTCGTGCACCGAGTATGACTTATATCATGTCTTGTTTATGGCCTGCATGGACGCTAATTCCGAGGTTTCGGGCCGTACTTTATCACACCTCCCTCAAGCACGGAACGGGAGGGGCTTTTCATCTCAGCGAATTCGTCGATCGTGTCCTTCAGACGACATCTTGCCGCTAGCCGCGTCACCGCCTTATGGACCAGGAGTTGCTGGGATTGATGGGGATTTGTCTGCGAAGCTCAGTGAAAGGGACCAACGGAGAATGTAAAAGGATCATTGCAAGTCAAGAGAATTCGGAAACTCCTGTGTATACTGTCCTGTTGGGACACCAGGATGTATGTTGTACAACAGTTATACGAGGACGACTATGGACCCTCTTCACGACTACTTCTCTAAGCAGCAGGACAGAGAGAATGTGAATGTTGACGAAAAGCCACTCGGTCGTAATATCCTCACTGCAGGGGGATGCCAAGATGATCCTGTCGTACGGGATGGACTAGTTACAAGTACATACCTCGTAGGTGCTTGGAGGAATAATTAGGCCCCCGAGTGCATTGGCTCCAGGCCCCGTAGGCGACCCCGCAGCCCGAACTAGCCCCTCCGTGGTCGGGCCTTTAGAGGGGCAGCATTTCCAGAATGCACCTAAGGTATGTACCTCGTACCTGGGTACCCTCCTGGAGATGGCCACGTACCTAAAGGTACTTTTCCCTGCCACGCGACGCTCTGGACGCTCTCGTGCTCGACTGGGTCCCTTGATACCCCGTCAGTCCGTCAACGTATCCCCGTAAAGTGAACGAAAATGGTTATGGACCAAGTACAGCTCAGGCTGCATATAATGGATACATATAAAAATTTAGATCTCTGTTGATACCGCACACACGGCAGTATCGATGCTTCGGGTTTCACCCTTTGTCAGCCAACGCAGGGGAAGGGAGCGAGGTCAAGTACAGTTCTTGCATGATCTCGCAGGCCATTCGTTTTCTATCAATGGATTGTGAGGGCGCGTCGACCTCGTAAAGGTTAATTGCAGCATCAACCAACAGATCAGGGTCGACGGCATAGCTCTGTATGGATTGATCGCACAAACAGAACGATACGTCGACGAAGCGCCGTTGGGCAGACCTGCACCCCTTGAGCGTGCATGATCTGAGCATTGCCCGACACCAAAGACGAGAAACGACACTGTAAACAATGCATTTTCTGCGTCTTTCACTGTTGGCAGCAAACATCCAAAGACGGCTGCCAACATGACACGTCAGGTCACTAACAGTAATGCGGAAGAAGATCTACCTGGAATCGATTAAGATACCGAGAGGGTTTTGGCGATTGGCCGAACAGCCGCTCCAGAACAACAACCAGCCACCCCCCATTTCTGTACCCTGCGCGAATCGGCCAAAAATAGGCTTGGAGGCGAGTTCCTGGGAATCCAGTCGATTTTCGATCAAAGGGGTATCCTGTTGCACAACGTCATGAGGAAATTTTTTGAGAAAAGTGTGTGTGTTTTTCTCTAATCAAAGCATCGCGCAATGTGCTGGAAAAGAAGGATGAACGGACCAATACCCAGTTAGCTGATTCCAGGCCACATGGATGAGAGGGCGAGAATCCGTAGATCAGTTCCAGAACTCGGGTTTCGACGGGAGTGGATGGGCTTGGACCTGTGGCACTGACTCTTGCAGCACTGAGCATAAGGTGACCCCTAATACCACGGGCAGCAACGCAGACAAAACAATACCAAGCAACAGTTCGAGAACAATGAGGAAAGTAGAGATCACCCGACAGGGGTTGGCCGACGGAGTACATACATACCAGTATCACTCAAAGTACGAGGTATAGCCAACTCCGGCCCCCTGCCTTCGAATGGTAATGGAGACCGTTGCCACAAGCATCCAGGGTCGCCAGAGATTTATCTTGTCTGACTAATTGCCCAATGCTTGGTGGTCTCTCGTGACATCGACAAGATGGTGAGCCAGATTGTTTTGAACCCCCAAAGGATCCAAGTCTCTTTCAAGAACAAAAATGTCTGACTACCACGGAGACTTGATTTGTTGGCTCTCGAAGTTGATGTGGTCATCGTCTATTGCAGGATGAATTTCACCCAGGTGGAAAGGGAAAAAAGTGCTGACTTCGCGCCATGGTTGGAGATCCCTGCTCCTACTGGAGAATAGGTCAGGGCTGTTGGGGTTTGGAAACAGCCCAGTCTTGTAGTAGTCAATCGTAAAAGGCGCGGCTCCAATTACAGAGCAGGATGATGGTTATCCACAAGATTGCGCCAGTGGAGAACGAGCAAAATCAGCGACAAGAGCTGTTTCTTTCTGCACGAGAGGCCAGTGTGGGTGCTTGTCATTTGGCAATCAGGCATCGCCACTAATTAACACTTGAGCATGGATGACCAGAGGGAGAACCGCTGAACGGATAGAGAAGGACGGGGATCGGGGGTTGAGGAATGAGGACCGCAGGCTAGGGCATCACGATTAGTCCAAAAAAGCCCAGACCGGATTGAACGAACTTGTAAGAACTAGGTAGGTTTGTATACAGGCCCGGGAGACTGGTTAGAGTGAAGGTTGTAGGGGTCAAGAAACGAACTGAACCAAAAGACAACGGTGCCAATCGAGAGTGAAGCTGCTGAATCTGAGACGCTCTCTTTCCCTCTCTCCAACAAGGTGAACAACAGGTCAAACTGCGCACCCTCGCACCTTGCACCCTGCAGCTTGCGCTTCGCAGCTCGCGCCTCTGCAGCCTCTGCAACCTTGCGACCCTCACGCTAAATCGCTAAATCGACACGGACTACCACCATTACTCAAACTCGACCCTCAGCACCACCACCTCCTCCCTCCCATCATTCATCCTCACCATCATCACCAAACCCCCTTCCATCTCTCCTGTTGTTCTACTGCGTCGCACGGATCCCGATTTCTTCGTTATCTTCCAGGCTGCTTTTAGTTGTTCCAACCCGGAGCTGGCCAAGTCCCCCAAGCGGATCTCTCGAATCCTGCCCTGCCTCGCCTCGCCTCGCCTGACCTCCGCCTCCCGAATTGCGAACTCCGCGTCCTCGAGTCCAGCCGCCACAGTCTTTACTAATTCCCCCTACTCTTGCTGTTCGAATTCTCGTCCACGAAGTCGTTGCTCATCAAAAACCATCAAAAGAACAATCTTGCACATTTGTTGGCTGTCCGACACCCAGACTCTTCGCCCACCCTAGAAACCTCCTTCACCCTCTGCTCCTCATCGTCCGATCGCCACCAACCCTCCACCGATCTGTCTCCTCCGCTTGATGGCTGCTGGTCCTTGTATATTTTGATACTTTGTGGATAGCCAGACAAGATCTTGTCTTGGTGACGGAATCGGCTGCCCGACGACGCCGCAGCTTAAGTACTGGTGGACGTG